TAGCCATATATACAATCAATCAATTAATTATTACACTTTTCTCTTTGTACCTTGATTGGGTTCTGGTCATCAATATCAAATATAAAATATTTATAATGAATCATATTATTCATGCACGGGCTATAAAACAGGGAGAGATAAAATAAAGAAAATGGTAGTTCCATTTATTTATTTATCTCTCTACTTTGTTATGATGAAGTACTTCAAAAAAAAAATCAGATTTGTTGTGAACAATGTGACCTCTTCAAACTTCATATAAGCTACTTAATTTAGTCAACTAATTTTTATAATAAGGATCAGAGGTAGTACATATGAACTTAATTAAAGATAATTAACTATTTACAATCAATTAATTATATTTCTTATATCTCTTTTCTTGAGTACTAATGAATCCAAGTCAAATTAGTACGAATCACTATTATATATCAATCTTCTCCTTAAGGTTACATATACATTCATATATATGCATACATAGATACATAGGTTTTGTAAAGATGCACAAGCATGTATAGCCCATGATTTTATTTTTTGTTGTTATTATAAAAGCTATATATTTCTTCTGGTTCAAAATACAAGTTACCCTCGATCATTTTACTAGAATTATTAAAGAAGAGTAGTTAATTCATTAAATCTCAATCTTAAATAAAATTTTCAACTTCGCTTGTATTTAAATCTGTCTAATCTCTCTCTCTCTCTCTCTCTCTCTCTCATATCCAATGTCTATCACTAATAAACTGGAGTAACATTGGAAAATAGTAATTAATAACCCTCCAAATGACTTATATTATAGATTAAGAATTTCTTCCAGAAGGTTCCTTATAGACTAAAGAGAGTATATGCATACATACATGCATACACACACATATTACTATGAGATAAAAACAAGAACGTACCAAATTTAATTTGAATGACATTTATGTGATTTGTCTTTCACACCTAATCAATGTGTGATGGAACTAAAGAAACAGGTTGAAATTTTGGAAGAGAGATCAGAAAAATGAGAAAGATGGATGGATGATGAAGATGTTCGACTGAGGGGAGAAAGCAAAGGGTTTGATGAGTATTGATGATGAAGCTGCTGGTCGACTATTAAATTCTTTAACCAATTTGGATGGTTCTACTCCGCGTATCATTAATTAGTTCAAACTAAACTTGTTTATTAATTATCTTTCCCCACCTCCACATATAAGCTTAATTTACTTCAAGATATTTATCCTTTCTTCTTTAGGTTGTAGGAGACCAATGGGTTTGGATAAACAAAGAGTCCAACACTCTCTCCTTAATTTTATATGGGTTCTCACAGCTTTTTTTTTTCATTATTATTGTTACGATTATATATATAAGAGAAAATAAATATTACATACATTTTCTCTCTATTTTCCTCACTCATCCGTTTAATACACATCGTCTTGGATTGACTTGTATTGGTCGGGAAATAGGATAATAATGAAGTAATTTAAAAAGAGTTTAACTCATATATAATATGGCTACTGTTTTGGGTGAGTTTTTTTCCTTAGATTTTCTTCTCAGCTTCTCTTAAAATCCATTTGCAGCTAGAAACACAGGCAAACGCACATGAATTTTTTACAAGTGATGTATTATTTATGAGGTGTGAATAATATATGTATATGTACGATATTTCATATAATACACAAAAAAAAATGTGTTTTTCTTGAATAAGATACAACAAAATGGACAAGGTCGAGCAGCAGTTGGCGCTTCTATTGAGATTTTTTCTTGATGATAGCGTTTTTTTAACCTGATAAATCATACTTTTGAGATTGAAATCTTAAAAAGAAAAAACGACTTTCTTTTGAGTTAGTACAATAAGAACAAGTTTTATTTTATCAGATGTGATTAATTACATAGATAGCGTTATTATGTTTTATTAACAACCAAATTGTTATAACAATCAGTTGAAATTGATATTCCATTTTTTGGCCCCCCCTCTAATTGTTGCTCCTCTTTAAATTTGATATAAGTTGATTTCCTCTTTAAATTTGATGTAAGTTGATTTTTATATTTCTGCTTCATTTTTGAGTGATATATTCGTCTTATTCTTTGGTTTTAATTTTGTTGTTATTTAAAGTGTAGTATAAAAGTTTCTTTACTTTTAAAAGCTTTTAGAAAAATGAGAAAAGATCAAATTTGTTCAAAACATATCAACCCCACAATAGGTTCTAAAGCCATTCCTATGACATCAGAATTAGCCCCAACTATATTTGGGCTTGCTCTGTGTTATTAGTCTTAGTAAGTTGGCAAAAAATATTAGTCTTAATAAACATAAATATTTTTTTTAGAAGTAAAACAATTTTCTCTCTAATAGAATTATGATAGAATTACAATGAATAAAAAATCTTAATGACAAGTGATCAACTGGAACATGTTGTCACTTATTATATTTAAACTTGTTATTACGAGTTACACAATTGTTATGAGATTTTTTAATAATTATTTTTTATTTTTTGGGATATTATAATAATCCTCCCCTAGAATTATAGCCAGGAGGTAAAAGTGCATGTTTTATGGGACTTTATGAGCGTGAGAGTACAGGCCTTATTTTTGTGATTGACTTTATGGGCTTACAAGGCCCATCTAAAATCTTTTTGGGCCCGAAGGCAAAAGTAAACTGAGTCATATCATTTCGCAGTTTGTACCAGGGAAAAAAAAAATCTCATTACGCAGTTGAAGGAACCGCAGTAACTGCCAACGTTGCACCTACTTGATGAGAAGAAAATATCTCCATCACGAATTCATCCAATGATATAACCTAATTAACTAACTTATGCTATCTCCGGTTTTAAATATAAAAGCTAGTTAACTAATTTGAGGAGATTACGAAAATAAGTTAAATTAGTTATTTGTAATAAATATGTGTTATTTTTTCTAAAATATTTTTATTAATAAAGTGTATTGACTAAAACTATCACTATTAGAAAGATTTTCTGAAAAAAAAATGCATAAATATGAGAGACAAAGTGGATTGAAGTCTTATATTTAGGATCAAAATAAAAATCAAACAAGGTCTTATATTGAAAACCAAAGGTAGTATAAATTAAAAATGTTAGTTAAAATTAGTTAATCCCTTTTTTCCTTTTCTACTAGATTATTGTTGAGGATATATCAATGAAGTTAATTTGAAAAAAAATATTAATAAAAATATGAAATAAGTCTTATATATAAGGCAAATATTAACTCTCAAATTATGTGCTATATTAAGAATTGAAAATTAGGTCATCTATTAAAAACTGAAAAGTATACATATATAGCTATCATCAAGTTAGGAAATGTCATTTCCATCTATGCATGCTTCTGAACATTTCTTAACAAATAACAAAATCAGATGTTACAAAATTTTATATGAATTAAGTAAATGTCCATACACACACACAAATCAGCTCAAACAAAATTCAATCTAATAAGAGAATATCTGGGCTTAGCAAAAAAAAAAAAAAGAATTTGCTTTGTGTCTCTGTGTGCACGTCTAATGCTGATGCGTCTAATGCTAATAGGGCGCATATACATTTCCACTTGGTATTTGTGTATAGGAAGTATTTGGATTCCTTTTTTAAAAATGATTTTAAAAAGTGAGATAAATATGAGAAAAGAATTTTATTTTGACTTGCCTGAAAATACATTTTTAAGTGTTTTTGAAAGATGCCAAAGTTTTGCAATTTTATCAAGATGTATTTGACTTTGACATGGGCTAGGGCAAAGAAGGAAATTTTTTTTTTAAACTGACCAGGGCTGCATAGTAAAAATTATATAATAAATTAATCGTATTTTTACTGAAAAATAAATATAAATCAATTATCAGACTCGCACTCTTCGTTTGCATGTATATTTTGGGACCAAAACAAAGCATCCAACAACTTGGAAGTCTCTCTTCGTTATCCTACATACATATGCAGACGTTACGCCGCTATCCATCAGTGTCACGTCAAACGTACGTGCGTGAGAAAGGACACTACTTGACGTGTGCGCCATGAGCCGTGCTCATGTCTAGTGTTTTTTTTTTTTTTTAAAATAAAACATTTTACTGTTATATACAATTTTCAGTATTTAATATAAGAATTAAATAATTAATTTAGAGATATAAAAAAAATAGTTAAGTTGGTTATTTATTATATATATGTAGTGGTCTCCCTAAATTATTCTTTTCAATCATGAGAATTAGATGATTGGAATTATTCTTTGTGAGAAATCTTTATAATTAGAAAGGACATTTTGAAAAAAGATATGAAACAAAGAGAATTGAAATATTATATTTATGATTAAATTTAATCCCCAATTAGCTCTTATACTCCTCCGGTCCTTAATATAGGATCTAATTATTGAATTAATTTAAGTCCTAAATATAAGACTTATTTCTCATGTTTATCAATTTTTCCTAAATTACTCCTATAGATACTCCCTCAACCATGATCAAGTTGAAGATGAAAAGATGATGTTAAAAAAGATGATTATGGTGCTTAAAGAAAAACATTTCATGTTACTTATAATTATCTAACTTACCTAACTTTCTTAATCTAATCAAATTAGTTAAATATGTTTTATATTAAGAACCGGAAGAGTATTAAGGATTGGAAGTAGTATTTAACTAAAACGTGGCATTGGTCATTTTTACCCATTTATTACATATTTGAAAATTCATAACTCATTTTGCAGACATCCAATTAACCTGATTTAGAACTACTGAAAATTTTTGTGCGTGTTGTGTATATATTATTCTGTGATTTGAATGGCCATTGGACCCATCATATCTGAGAAGAAAAATTCAATGAGAAAAGTCTCCCAAAGTCAAGAGAAACTTAAGGAGGAAGCTCCCTCTTGAGACTTGAGGCTTTGCTTAGATTAGAATGAAAGTTAGATCCTTACACCCACATACACGCACCCCACTCAAATATGTGAAATGGTATTTGAAACAGTGAGAGAGAGAGAGCTATAACTTTCACGTCAATCTTTCTCAGTGACAAAAATTCATATCACTAATGTATTGCTTGATGACTGACCTCTCCCTTCACCCACCTCTGATAATATCCTCTCACCCATTGAAGGATCACCACATTCCCTCAACTATTACTCTCTTGTTGTGTCTCCATGAATTTGGCTTAACCCCTTCTCATTGTCGTGAGGACCCTTTTGTTTCTCCATCTTGCAGCATTTGGTGTTGCAGAGAATTAGAACATGGCTAAGAGATCAGATTTTGCACAGAAGCTGCTTGATGATTTGCGCCTGAGAAAAGAACGCAATACTGCTTCTCAGTCTCAGAGGACCACCCAATCCAACCAACTTCCTATAGGTAAGTCCTCTGGAACATCTGCATTTTCTATTTGGGAGCCTGTTAACCGTTCATTTGTCTAATGAATTTGCTGGAATTCTGTATGACTCGTGTATAGTTTGTACTTTATGACAAGAATACAGCTCAAAATTTATAAATTTAGACTTTTTTTCTCTGTCAGCTATATATATAACACTGCTTTTGTTGTCTCTTCTTGGTGCCATATGCTGTGATCAGCGAGAGTAAACGTCTTCTAGCCACATCCCTTCTTATATTGGAAGGATCCCCCAAAATGCCTGTTCGCGATTGGAATTTATTTTCCCTAAATTTTTCCTCTGGAATCATTTCTTGTGTTCTGGGGTCTGGGCCACCTTTTTTGCTTTTTTTTTTTTTAATAAATATTTGTCCTGGTAGTAAGATGCATGTTTAACTACATAACCGGCCTACTTAATTAACAAGCTTGTCTACTATAATTAAATGAGACTGCATTGTGGGAAATAATTGTGAAGCCATGAGGATTGACTTTCCGTTCGGGCATGCCCAGCATTCGTTTCTGAGTTTCTGGGTTAGTATTAAAATTTACAAGCCTATATTTTTTTGTTTTTGGCTAGAAATTTACTAGCCTATACAGGTCAAAATTCTGAAGAATAAGTTCAAGAATTGGCGTTTCTTTCTTCGAGTTCCAAAAGTTAAAAATGAACCAAAGTCAACTTACAAGCCTAGATAGGTTGAAATCCTGAAGCCAAAGTTCAAAAAAACATTAATAGAATCGGCTTTTCTTTCTTGGACTTCTAAAACTTGAAAATGAACCAAGTCAGTATCTTTTCTGATAGGTTAGTTCTGATACATAGCGATTCTAAATTTATGGGTAAGAGTACCGATTAACGGAGAGAAAAGTTCATGCAGATATTTTGGATGCCATAGTTTGGTGGTGCCTATTTAGTATCATGAAAAAGAGGGGGGAAAAGCTTTTTTTCTCTTGGTCTCTTTCTGACATTTATTATGTCCTAATTACTATTTTTTATTAGCACGCCTTTCTAGTCGTTATTGAACATTTTGTATTCTTTTTTTATTACTCTTCTAAGACAGACATGAGAATAATTTTTATTTTGGCAAAAGGAAGAGAATAATTTTTTATCTTCAAAATCACTATTTTCATTTCATTCTATTTTATTTTTGTATATCAAATGAGCCCTACAAGATAGCTTATGATTGCATTATTCCTATATGTGAAAAGTTTGAAATCTTTACACTTTCTACAGATGCATATGCCTACTCCAAGCAAACATACAGAGGATCCGGGAATGCAAAAGCTATTGAAGCTGTAAGTTATTCTGCATTTGCATATTCTGAGCCGGCATTAAAGCAATTTGCTTTAACTCTGTTGTTGAAATTGTGTCATCGTCCACAGGTTACTTCCAGAACCGGGGACACGCTGACTAGGCCTAGCAGCAGAAGCCATAGAACATCAAACAATGGAAAAGCTTCGGATCAGATTGTAGTGTACGGGAGAGGTCAGAGCTCAGTGCAATTGAGTGATATATCCCTTGCCTTGGCTTATGCATTTGATAATGGAGGGAAGCTGAGAAGAGATGATTCTTCTCTCACTAGCTCAATGATGGGTTTCCTTCACCAGATTAAACGGGGAACAATGGAGTATAGCAAGATAGGAAGAGGAAGCAATCTGGATAGGCAATTGGCTACAGCAAATCACTTCCCTACTTCCTCTCCTGGGCAGATCAATGAGATATCCAAAGGTGTACAGAAGTTAAACCAGATATTGAGAGCCTGCTCCAATGGTGATCTTAACATGGATAGATACTCGATAGAATTTGCAAAGGAACTATTACGAGGAGCTATGGATTTGGAAGAGTCTCTGAGGATGTTAGTAGACCTGCAGAAAAGTTCAGATTCCATGAAGAACTCACAGAAGAAAAATCGGATTACATTTATAGAGGATGACAATGATGATGACGATGACGATGACAGAACAACCATGACTTCTGAGCAAAGACAACTGGCACCACCAAGATTCTCCTTTGACGAGTCCTCGAGAAATTCTCATAAGCTTCAAGAGGTTGGAAACAGTGCTTTGACGCAGAGGCCACTTGTTCTTACTTACTCTAAAGAACGAAGAAACTTGAGCAATGAAAAGCAAGATGTTAACGTATCGAAATTGCTTCCCCACAGGCAATCAACTAGCTCTATTTCTGATGATAAGAATATCAATGCCCTTTCAGAACAGAAAAATCAGTCAGCTTCAATGAAATCCAACACAGAGAAGGCCAGGATTCCAAATGTGATAGCCAAGTTAATGGGGCTGGATAATATTCCGGAGAAAGTGGAATCAGGAAATCCCTCTCAGAAGGATTCAGGTTCTCCACACAAAATAGAAAGGACGACATTCAAGCATTCTGCCAAGAAAAATGAATTGAAGAGCCGAAAAACAGAGAATTTGGTGCCTCCAAAACAGCAAAAAGGGATAGAACCTGTCATTGTGCCTAAAACACAGGAAAAGGAGCTGCTGTATGGTGCAGATGAAAACTTGATCATCCAAAAAGCAAGCTCTGAGGTGGCAGTGAAAAACGGGAAAATGATATGGAGGGAGTTGCATGAAATAAAAGCATCCAACGGAGCCATCAAAGTAGAGAAGCAGCATAACAATTCATATAAAATGACCCTGAATAGAGAAAGTGGAAAGGATGTTCATGCCAATGGAAGAAAACAGGTTCAGGCAACCAACAGAGAACAGAAAGTGGCATTAAAGGGAAGAACCAATGATCTGCTTCTAAATAACATGCTAGCCCAGCTGGAGCGGGGTCATGAAAGATCAGAAGTTGACTCTTCATTGCAGGAAGAAAAAGAAGACATTGGTATTTTTCTTCAACCGGTGAAGAAAAACATGAACAAGAAGGAAGCAACCAATCAAAAGAAGTCTCAGAATCACTCTGGAATTCAAAAGCCTTATGCGCTCTTGAAATATGGGCCACAAGAAGAACAGCACCACAGAGAAAAGCAGCTCCAGCACCGTGAAAAACATATGTTAGAGCTAAGAATACAAAAAGGGAGCGAAGCAGCTTTGAAAAATTCGTCAAAACTTTCACATGACCTGGCCAATTCACTGAAGAAGCAAACACTCACAAGCCAAGCCACACCATTTAAGCACACTTCTGCAGAAAATGTTGACGTTATGAAACAAGAAGTTTTCCTAGTTCACGACCATAATGATCTAAACCAGGATGAAGCATCCAATGAGTTCAATGTGAAAGTGGAACAAGTGAACAACAGGAAACCAGGTCAAATTACCTCTCCAAGAAATCAGCAATCTGAACCATTTACAGGGAAGCATGGCTTCACAACAATGATGGATCAAACAAGTGTTCATAAACTAGCCAATGAGAAGGTGAAGAATATAAGAAAGAAAAAAGCTGACTCAACTGAAAAGATTGAGGAGGTGCTGACTAGAAGAAATGGAACAATGGTTCATAGCACTGCAAAAGTGAAACAGGGGAGTCCCAATTTAAAAGAAATGAGACGAACACCATCTGAATCTGATAAGTTCAATTTATCAAAGGAAGCTAAGCAAGAAAGGGCCAGCGTGTTGAAAGAAGCAGACGCTCGCATCATCAGCTCCAATGACTCAGTATCTATCATTGAACCATTGAATGTGAGACAACAACCACATCCAAAAGCAGAACTCTCTCCTACATTGTACAATTCTTATGGTGAGAAAGTTCAAGGCGAACAAGAATTATTAGATTTGGTTCCCAATAATTCGGTAAGATAAATTTCATTGGCATCTAAAATAGATTCACTCATTGGCAACTTATAAATAAAAGAACCAAAGCAGTTATAGGATTCCTTCCCAAAAAATAAAACGCAAATAAAGCTGACATAATCCTTGTTGCAAATTATGCAGTATCGAAATGTCAAGTCGGTGGACGCTAATGACAAGCAGCATCTAGCTACTCCTTTGGCAGTAGATGAAAAATTTGAGTCTTGTGAAATTGCACCAACTACGATAAACGGTGAGTTTATAGATGACTTTCTTTTCAAAATGAGAAATAATTTCTGGTATTTTAGAGTTGTATGATGTTGTGGACTAAGGGATTACAAAAGTTGCTTACCTGCTCTAAGCCATCATCTTCGTTCATTTACATATAAGCCAAAATCTTTCCCTTAAAATCCACCATAGTTTCGTTTTCTTCTTGCTCAGCTTGTTAGATGCTTTTCTCAGAAACAGATCAACACAACTTCTGTCATACTGATACGGTCCCATATCACCAAGAGAGAAGATACTAGAATATTGACAAGCTCACCCCTGTTTTCATTGTAGACACCTGAAGCCTACAGTAGAAAATATAATCTCTAAACCCTGCATCTCGTGTCTCATCTACTACAACTACTACTGTTACTAGTTGTGTCATAGCACTTCATCTTCACCCTATTCTTGATGAAATATATTGATTTCAACTGATCTCAGTAAAACAGATAATATAATCTCTAAATCCTGCATCTCGTGTCATACTACTATTACTAGTTGTGTCATAGCACTTCATCTTCACCCTATTCTTGATGAAATATATTGATTTCAACTAATCTCGATAAAATCAATACAATGATAACACCAGGAACATATAGATTAAACAAATCAAGCAACGTTATATACAACAACAAGAACAAGTCTTATAACATTAGTTGAAGTTGGCTATATGAATCAAGTCATGTCATTATGCTCTATTAATAACTCACTCTTTGGACATGTAGTTCACCAAAAGGTCGTGTTCAATGACTCCCTTGATTGTTCTTTTTAATCTTCCTCTACCTCTTTTCATAGGACTTAAGAAATCATGCAAAGTTTTATATATTCGAATTAATTATGTTATACATTGCAGGAGTTCATGAAGAAAGTATTGACATAAACTACCATTCACAAAAGCAAGTCCAGAGAATTTCTAAAAAAGGAATGCAAGAGCCACTCAGTGAAAGTGAAAACTGCCTCAAATGGATCTTAGTCACGAGTCAACCGTTCCTCAACACAGCAGAAGCACTTTTCAAGCTAAACATTCCATTTAGCATTCTTCGAGGCTGTGGTGTCGTTGACAATCAAGATGAAGGAGGCAGCAAGCTGATATTAGACTGCAGCTATGAAGTGACGAAACGCAAGGGGATACGTCAAGAACTCAAAGTCCATCCTTGCTTAAAGGCATCAATCAGTCCCATCAAAATTGGATCATTAGATGATTTGGTTAGGCAGTTGAATGAAGACATGGAAAAGCTAAAGTTTTATGGCAGGAACAGAACTTCCCCTGTTCATGTTGAGGACTATCTTCCTACAATGCTTGAAAATGATGTGTACAACAAGTATCCAGACATGAACTGTATGTGGGACTTGGGTTGGAACCAGGAGACATTTGCATTCCTCGAAAAATATGATGTCACAAGGGTTGTGGAAAAGCATATCCTTAATGGACTTTTGGATGAGATTACACGGGAACTTTCGAATGTTCGAGGGGGACCACACTAACAGTTACATGCTAAGCTGTCCTTGTTCCCTGCCCCCCCGAGGTTGGGTTTGTTCCTTTTTTTTCCCCCCGGGGGGGGGGGGGTGTCTGTTCATTGTTGATTTTCTCATTCACATCGATTTCTCATAAACTCGCAAGGGGACCGGGGTTGCTCCTTTTTTTGAGGCCAGCTTTTTTTTTTTTTTGGGTGGGTGTCAGATGAATGAACATTCAGATTTTTGCATGCTGAATTGAATGCATTCTCCTTGTTATTTATAGAAGGAAAATCATGTTATAAATTTTGATACGGTGGTAAAAGTGCTTATTCTTCTGTTTTGACGATGACGTTTAGTCTCGCTTTTTTACATTGATTCTCTCTGTGTTCTTTCTTTTTGCAGATAATTTTATATTGTGTTAACCATTTACTGAACAATTTAAACAGATCGATCATATTTTGTTGTAGCATGTCTTATTCAGGTTTCAACATTTTTGAAAAATAAATTTCGATCAAGAACTTCAGCCTCTAGTCGCTCAACGTCATGCAAGGAGGGGTTAATTTTACAAGATATTGGATATCATACATACAAACTGAATCTAATTAAATCATGCAAGAATTCCATTTGTCTAATTATACAACATCCAGCAACTACATGCATGTGGCAACAAGCTAGCGAATTTACATGATATGCAGCTGAACATCATACGAGCTATGGTCGAGTTTACAAGATGTGTTAAGAGTAAATCCTACTCTTTTAGCTAAAGATTTGACTGCGAGGTATCAGCACGACTGAGACGTTTCTTCCTGTATCTCCATGCAACCTGAATGCGAGTTGCTGCAAGGCTTCTCCAATAAGGCGATTCATACCTATCATCAACCATTACCAAGTAAATACGCAGGCATGGATTTTGAGACAGACTAATATAAGTCTTTCACCATGGAACAAGTCCATGTGGCAACATGTAAACTGAATGCTGTCAGAGCTGAGCCAATAAATGATCATATTGCTGAAACCATGTTTCATTTATGCATGGTGTACGGACTATGCTAACAATTAAAAATTGAATTAGGAGTTCAAAGGTAGAATGGAAACATGCTCTATATAATAAACTGTTTCTTCTTTTAACATTTACTTACACATTACTTACACAGTTATTTCTGTTGAAATTAAATGGAATAATATCACAAGATAGTTAACTATTGGTGGTGGATGGCAAGGAAAAAAAAAATTATTGGTGATGAAGCAAACCACTTAGTAAACTATAATTGATCCCAACATTTTAAACAGGTCAAGTCGCATCGTATATCATTTTTAACTAATGCTGATGAGCATAATACTTGGCCTTCACTGGAAATTGAAAGACAAATGGCAAACCATAGAAGGAAAGATCACCTTATGGCTCCTTGAACCCGCGCATTTCTTAGGAATCTTGTAAAAAGGCTAGTGACTTCTTCAAGGTCTGCATATCGGAGCGAAAATGCCTCCACATTTGTTAAGCAACGTACAGTCCTGGTGCTGAGCAATCTTTGTCCAGGAAGCCTTACTTTTTTACCATCTGCAGGGTATACCACGTTAATTTCTTATTGCTATACATTATAATAAAACCATTCATGCGTTTTTCTCTCAACCAAAGCTTTTGAGCTGATTGTGTTCTAAAGCATATTAGTACAGCGCCTCCATGACTAATGAGTAGTCTAGAGTTCACCTATTGCATTCTCATATTCTCCCAATTACACATTGAGCTTCCACATTTCAGGCTCAAGGGTCTAGGGTTTTGCGTGAAGAAAAAGAAGTGTTACGGGTAATAATAAAAATATTCACGTGCCTTCACAGCATAACTTGTAGCTTTTCAGTCCATGAGGTTAGCACTTAAAATCAATTAACAAGACTACGGTGTCTTCATCAGGTTTTCCCATACCTTTGTTCACAGAACAATGTTCGAGACACCATGTCAAGAGTTCTTCACCACACACATCCCCTTCAACTAAGGGAACCCTGATCCCATCATCTCCAGTGCTCTCTAATCTTCCACGCACAACGAACACCATTTTGTCTATCAGACCACCATGATACAAAATATTGCTTCCTTTGATGTATGTTTTTTGTCTTAGTCTCCCACAAATGGCATCTAAGATAGGCTCATCCATCAAGGCAAAAATTCGAACCTGTGCATGTTTTAGATAATTAGAATATGATGAGGCAAAGCAAAAACACGAGATAAGATAGACCTAAGGAAGCAGGTTTTTTAACGAACCACACATCTGAACTACAAGCATAAATGGGTTTAAAGCAGGATAATCTGGTGCAAGTTATGACCAGCAATTGAGTAACAGATAGTCATGTGCTCACTTTCTTAACAAATTTGAAGAGATGACGTCTAATATCTCTCTGAAGATCCTCCGGCAAACTCTCCAGAAGCATTTCTTCATTTACTCCTCTTGTTGCAGCCCAATTATATCGTTCAGCCAGTATTACTCTCCTACATAACAGACCAATAATATGAGTAGAACGGTGTATTACTTGACAATATGATCCATAAATTTGTATGATCTTGATTACCAAAAGAGAAGATAAATAAAGTAGTTGACATGCAAAATTCGAAGAACTCATCTTTATCACTATGCTTTAATAAGGAAAAATCAACAGTGGGCGTATCGACAATGATAATGTCAACACCCTTGATGGAGATCGAATGTAATTCAGGAGACAAAAATAATTGCAATGCATACAAGTAATGTTAAAATAATTTAGAAAAGTACGATATATGGGTTCACTTTGATTGAATAGGTCAGAGTTTGACTTCTCTGACATCTTTTATTTATAGTCTAAATTAGGGTACAAGGTAAAAAGAGCTTAGAAAATTGACTGGCAAAATACAATGGGAAGTTAAAATATGAGGTGATCCCCAGTAAAATAAGCAACTGCTAAAACTAAGCAAAAACGAAGGCAGAACAGGAAAGCAAAACAGAAAACAGGAATATAAAACAGCCAACAACATGATCGCGGATGAATAAATGGTAAAGTAAATCATTGTTGATTACTCAGTGTGATAAAAAAGGAAATTAATTGCACAATAATAGTTTTGCTAGGTTGTTCTCAAGTCTCAACTATTATTTCACATTCACTGTTTGAGTATGTTATCAATGACAATAAATATAAGGTTAAGCTGTATTCAGTATTTCGAAGTATTTTTTTAGATGTATTTAGCATCCTAACATATTTTGTGATGCATCCAGCACTCTGAAGTATTTTTCAGGTGCGTCCATATTTCTCTTTTTGTCTTGGTACTGAACACACTTAAAAAACTACTTCAGGGTGTTGGATGCATCACAAAATACTCAAGAGTACTCGATACACTTTAACCCATAAACACATTACTAATCTACATAACACAGTGATTAATCATATTTAACAAACTACATAGGCAAGTACTTAACAGCATTTGGCAGACAGACATAGATACTGGAAGAAATTTTGTTTTAAATGTGTACTTGAATTTTCAGTTGTTTATTCAATGGATCTTGGCCATAACATTTCTTATCCATAAAAAATGTTGTTTATGCACCCAATATTTACATTGTCAAGCAGAGTTTTGGGAAAGGGTCCAGAATTAGCAAGCAACAACTTAAATGAATGACGTTTTTTGTCAATCTGAAATGATGAAGAAAATGGATACCTTCTTAGATCTTCAGGCAAGCGCCGGTGGCTCATCCATTGCTCCACATCACGACGTCTAAGTGACATTTCTAGCCTCCTACAAAAGGAATGGAAGAAAATAAAGCAGGCATAATATAATCATGCATACATCTGAACTTGACTAGGAACCACGACGGGTAGGATCTAGATTGGGTACTATAGTGGGTAAAAAATTCCTTATCACCATTGATCCATAAACCTTTGAACGCAGATCCATTTACCCAAAAAAATATTTGAAATGAACAAATATTTATCAAGACAAGACTCATTTAAATAAAATTATTCATATGAGATAAGGGGAAAAAAAGTGTCAAACAATTTTCAATATAATTTAAAAGCAATATAGTGTTATGTGAATTGTAATTTCTTTTTCTTTTTCCGATGTATTAAATTAATATAATTAATATAACTAAAAATGCATCTATCAATCACCCACACGCACAAAAAAGGCCAGTGGAAGAGGTATTATCCTAACTAAACCCAGACCCTATAAATACGCATAAAATCTCAGTACCCAAACCTAAGTGGGTAAATCTTGCCAGTGGGAAGAGTATAAATTTCAGTTTACTCTCTGTCTAGCCAAAATCAGTTGCTACTCCTTTTGCTTAAAATGTGCCATTCAACACTCTTGCGGTTTCTTCCATTATCACTGAACCAACATGGTATATATCCAAGAAACTTGAAGTTGAACTTAAGAGGCATTCATGTCATGCGGCTGTAGTTTGACGCATCCCAAAGTCCTTGACACAAGTGTTCGAAGTGCATTAAACGTGAAACGGCTCAATTATTTTTGGGACCCCAGTGCTTTATATGTTAGTAATGAAGAGTTTATGATGTGAGAGATACAATATTAGATTTGTTTCGGAACATAATTTGAAATAATAAATGCAAATAATAAATAATAGTAAAGGAGTTTTATAAATTTCCCAACAAAGAATTATAGCGAGAGGGGGGAAAAAAAAAAAGAAAAAGAGCATTACGATATTGCAGAATCCATACAAAGTCTTTTTGTAGACCAGGTCTACTAATTTCTTTTGTATTCACAATAATTTTACATGACCCTTTCCAATTTTGTATGCACAGCATTACAAACAAGAATTTCTCTACTTGGCAACAAAAGAGGGAAAAACAAATGAAAAAGGAATTGAGGCCTGTTTGGGTAACAAGTAAAACAACAGTTTGGGATTGAGACGGAATTGAGACCATGGTTTGGGGATCCAACCATCCAAATATGTCAATATTTTGTAAAATCACTTTTTGATTAAAAACCATGGTTTGAAAAAATGTAGCCAAACATCATGATTTTTGGCAAAATCACTTTTGAATTGAAAACCATGGTTTGGGGTCTAAAATGATGGTTTTTCATAAAGTGAAATTTTTTTACTTTTGAAGGTATAAAACCATAGTTTGTGATATAAAAACTAGATAAATATGAGAGATAAAGTAGATTGGGATCTTATATTCAGAATCAAATTGAATACTCAATTAGCTTTTATATTAAGGACGAGAGGTAATATTAATTAATTATATTTTTTATATACAATTTATTATTTAATTTCAAACAAAAATATAAATTAAAATCCATTTTTCTATAATTATCATATTAACTTATGTCTTTTTTAGTAAT